TAGACTAATTTGAAATATACATATTCAGACTATTTACAGATCTGTGTAGAAGTCTGTGTGAATAGAGAAATGCCTCCTTCAGTGTTTAAGTGTTAAACTAATGATGTAACGGTCACTAAGATCAAATATTCGACTTGCCATAATACACCTTGAATTTAGAGAAACAGAGTTAATTCTTATTGGACAAATACACAAGTTCTATTTTTGTTATTGTCATTCCTGTTTACCTACTTACTACTCATTGTACTTGTATTTGAGACAAACAGGTGATACTGAATTATACTCTATTTTCTACTTTCATTAAAACATTGAGATCTTAATGATATAGAAATTTAAGGTCTAAAATTAAATGTAAAAAAGTTTAATTACAGCTTGATTTAATATTTTGAAGCAATCTAGACCACTAGGAGCAGTGGATGTCTGAACCAGTCATTCTAAAAGATTTTTTAATCCTGTAGAAGGAAAATACCCAAAATGTTCTCCCTAAAATTCTAGAATGGCTAGCTGTTATGCTTCTTTGAAAGGATAGGGCGGTTGGGACCAGGGGGGTTTTTTGGAGTGCCAGGCGGTGGGGGGGATGCAGCACTTGATAACATGAAGTAGGCGGTCCATGCTGAGTAGCTCTGGCCTCCACAGTAAAACGAGATGCCCCCTGAGAGCGGCTGTATGTAACCATAATGTTCCACACAATAATTAACATTACATCTTCTGAATTTCAGGTAATTTTAACATTTCCTTTCCACCAAATTTAATTATTTTTATAATAAATAAAGGGCCTGCAGGCCCTTCTTAAGAAGTGATCTATATTTTGAACTGATACTTATTTTATACATGAATTTTTTTAATGTGATAAAGCTAAACTTGGCTTGGCCAAAGTGTGTGTCTGAATTATGACCATTTATTACTTGAACTATGAAGACTGAAATGGAATATATTCATTGTTTGGGGTCTTTTTGTTGTTTTTGTTTTTTCCTATGTAGTGAAACCTCAGTCCAGAAAAACTATATTTTCATCTCTTTCTGATCCTGGGACTTCTAATCATGGTGTGCAACACGAAGGCGAATGCAGCAGATAAGTCTAAATCTTGGTATTCTTAAAATAGTTCTGCCAGAGCTCCCTGCCCGAGGCTTTAATGACCTACAGGAAGCTTGGGTAAAACTGAGCTGACTTCAAGAAAGCAGCACTTCACATCTTCATCCTTAATTAACCTCCTTTTTGGGAGAAGCTACACTTTGTTATATTGCTATCACGGGATTTTGCTCTTTCATAACATAGGGTAAATTGTTTACGTGTTTGGAGCCTCAGAGTATATTCTATCTGCTCACCAAAATTTGCCGAAGGTGTCAAGGAAAGATATATATTTTTAGTGCCATTTTTTTCTTTATGAAAAAATAGTCACATGGTGTCAGTGGTAAAAAAGCGTCACAGGTTTACAGGCCAAACTTGCTTTGAATTATAATTCTCACAGGTTCAAAGATGTAATTGTACCATTCTTTTTAAAAGGTCAGTGTTTTACTGTCTAGTTATTTGACCTTGTCTACTCTCTGTTAAAGAAATGTAAAGCTGGAGGACAAAGGGAGGATGACTGTTTTCGGTAAACCCGTTTTGTCTTGTCCTTATTAACAGAAACGTAATGAGCCTTTGAAATTTTTAAATACCTGCATTACCCTTAAGTTGTTAAAAAGCTGAACTTAAGCAGTAAAATGATAGAAACTATTTAAACGAAGCTGTTAGGGGCTTTAACTATTTTAAGTCAACATTTAGCTTCTTTAGTTTCCTAAGTTGTCAGAATTTGTTCTCTCAATATAAAGCAAATATTCAAGGGTAATATTTAGATCAAGTTTAAACTGTAAGTTAATCCACTGTTCAAGTTGTATCGGTACCGTCGTTTTCGGTATCTCCGGAAGAGGACTGTGATACACAATTGGTAATCTCAGGGTTTTTTCCCCACATATGCACAAAATCTACACTGCACTTATTTTTCTTATAGTTCAACAGTTTCTCTTTAGCAAAATTAATTTAGTTTGGCATTTGATTTTCTATTTATCATGGCTTAGCTTTATTTCTGAATATTTTACTGTCATTTCCAGTAAGGCTACAAAAAGGGCAGAAAAATATTGGTGTATTCCTGACTACCTGTTATTGAGATTAACCAAAGGTTTATATACCATTCCTTTAAATGTTACTTTTAAGAAAGTCTATTATTGTCATGATTCATGCATTTGAATATCAAAGTAGAATTTTACGCTTAGCATAAGGTAGACGGATACTTTTAAAAATTTTTGAGCATTACTATTAGTCACCAGGTACTTAAACATATTGTGCTAAGTACTGCCTGGAAGTACAGAGGAATTTTAGAATTAGAGCTAATAATCTCTGAGCAAGTCTTAAGCCCTTTATCCGTACTCCTGTGCTTCTCATGAGTCTGTGAGGTTGGTGCTGTCCTCCTTATAGCAGCATACGGAAGAAACAGGCTTAGACCGGCTAGGGAACATTAACATCCCCAGGATCATAAACTAAACTTGACTACTTTTTAAATATTTGACCAACTTCAGGCAGACTGTTTTAAAAAATCCATTTCTACTGTTTGTTAGTTTAAACAAACTTCCAAGTCCTGGATTCCTCTCTAAGGCAAATGTAGCTAGCCACTGGGTTTCCTTTGTGACGTATCTTGGTATTTTGAAACTTGTTTTTCACTTCTTCATACGTCACAGTTCTTGAAGTAAAAATCAAGTAGCCACTGTAATTAACCCTGCCCACTTCTATGCTCTTTTTGAGAGGCATTAGTGCAGAGTGGTTAAGAGCATGGACTTGGGGGCCTGAAGTGCCTTGTTTGAGTCGTGGCTTCACCCATTACGAACTACACGGACTGACCTCCCTGTGCCTTCACCTCCTCATCTGTGAGTGGGGATAGTAAGTGTACCTACCTCAAAGGGCGGTTGTGAGGAGGAGAGAGTGTGTAAGAGAATCGAGCATTGTCACAGAGTAAGTACCATATATAAGAATTAGCTGTAATTACTCTGTACTATAAACCTGTACTTTAAAATCTTTGGTGGTCACTACAAGTTTTTTGATCGAAGTCTGTTCTAGTGCTTAGCCCTTAAGTTCGTTCAGCCAGCATTTATTACGCCAGGCTTGCCTATGAAGCAACCATGAAAATGTGGCAGTATGGAATATGAAATTCATGGTGAGATTATAAAATGCTAAGAATATATTCAGAAGAATGTTTACAGGCATGTTTTAAACACCCACCTTGGATCATAAGCTATACTATTAAAATGAAGTCTTAAATGTCAGTGAATATATACAAATGTATGCGGTAGTAACATTTGATTATGTGACGTGTAATTATGAATTGTAACTAGTTTTTAGAGCCTAAGATTAAAAATGAAGTCTCTGGGCTCCTGTAGTAGGCCTGTTGTAGTTATGAGTATTGAACGTTTTGCAGTCCCCACTGGTTCTCTCCAGTGACTTATATATTCACCTTGACTTTAGGTAATGGTACTCATAGGGGAGCTGGGCAAAATGGAGTAATATATAATCCTGCCACAATCATACTGAGTCTGTAGAGTGTATTTCATCAGAAGCTCAGGGTAGCATCTGAGCTAGAAAGAAAGGGGTCAGTGTTCCCTTTAAACTTCACATTCTTGCTTACACACCTCTGCCCTCAGCCACCTTACTATGCTCAGACCAGTCTGTGTTGGTGTACATATTAATAAAACGTAGTGTTGAGTAATTTAGGGCAGAGACACTTGCTATAAATTGTGATTCAACATATTCCTCAGAGAACAGTCAGAAAGGAGTTGCACCCTTACTCTCGTGTCAGTTCCTTCCCCTCACCCCTCTCTGGTCCCAGTTTCTTAGCCGAAATTTGAAGTGTAGTTGCCACTGTCCAGTTTTTCTCCCATGTCAATGGACAAGGGCTAATTTATCCTTCTGCCAACATTTGGGAATGGAAAATTCCCTTCTGGACAAGTGAGAGGGCTGGCTTCCTGGGTCCACTTGACACTGGTTCCCCTGAACACCCAGTTTATCTTCCTTTCCCGCTGACTCTCAGTCTTGTAACCTTAATTAGTTTTGTGGCTCCAGTATTGATTTTTGGTTTAATTACAATGCAGCATGGTGATATTGCATTTCATTGTTTAATTGATCCGAAAATTGTTTTTTAGAGCCTCTGCTTAAACTTGTTTGAAGTGAAATCTCTGCTTTTGCTTTCTTAATCTATGAAATATCAGCCAACCAAAGGGTTTATGAATATTTGCTAATAACTTTATTAAATCCACATACATAACTATGCAAAAACATAACCTATCGATGGACTTTAAGGAAGCTGAATGCCTTTTAAGTATTTTCTTTTAGGTTTTGATTTTACCACGGTATTCATATCAACACTCTTAAGTGATGGAACACCTGAGATAGGTAAGGGGCTGACTTTCTTCTATCGCCATCAGTTTATGGTAATAGATCCAAGTTTATTCTTTAAATCTGAAGTATTTTTACAACCCAGGATATGGTCTGTCTTGGTGAACGCTGTCCTTTGTAAACTTGAAAAGCGTGTATTCTGCTGTTGGATGAAGTGAAGTGTTCTTAGTGTCAGTTAAATCCAGTTGGTTGACGGTGCTTTCCGGTTCTTCTGTATCCTTGCTGATATTCTGTAGACTAATTCTGTTACAGCTGTAATTGTGCATTAGTTTGTCTTTCTCCTTTCAGTTGTTTTTGCTTTGTATATTCCAAAGTTGTACGGTACTTTTAGGATTCTGTCTCAGTGAACTGGATGTTTTTATCATTAGTAACATAGCCACTCCATCTTTCTTTTAAGTAATGTTTACATGGTAAAGGTTTCCATCCTTTCACTGGTAAACCTACCCAAGTCTTTTGAAGTCAGCTTCCTATAGACAGTATATAGTTGGTTTATGGTTTTTCCTGTTTTGATTTAATTATTGATAGGCTTGGATTTAGTTCTCCCATATCTTGTTTTCTGTGTTTTCCCTCTATTTTTTGGTCCTCCATTTCCCCTTTACTGCCACCTTTTAGGTTATAGGAACATTTTTAAGTATTCCATTTTAATTTATCTATTAGGATTTTGACTTTTATCTCTTGGTATAGGTTTTTTAGTGGTTGCTCTAGAATGAAGTGAGCTTTTTCTTTTTTCAACTACTATCCTCTCCCCTGTTGCCAACTTCTCATAGAAATATTGTAAATGCTCTTGTGTAGGTAGCTCGGCTTCTGGAGTGGCGGGAATTTCAAAATCAGAGGAGCTTTGTGAATCTGCGCTGCTGCTAAGATTTAGTGGCCTTTTCCCCTGAGGCATGTGCTTCCCACTGCTTAGAGTAGTTGTTTCTCCAACACTAGAACCTATACTTACATCTCGATCTCTGCTTTTCAAATCAGAGTATGTGTCCTTTGGGCAAAGTACATTCTGTTCCACCTGAGGGGCAAGAGTATTGTCTTTGATTCCTGGCCTGTAGACGCGTCTGCTCGAGGAGGTCATACCCCCGTTTCTCTCTTGGGAAGATAACAGAACAGTGTCAGACTGGCTGTCCCAGCCTTGACTTCCTTGTTCTGATATGTGTGTTGACTGGGAAGACGTCTGGGAAGAGATGTGAGTTGACTCCCCATCAGAGGAGTCACTGAAAAGCTTCGGAGACTGAGAGCCCCCTGCCTCTGTGGAGGACGGGAGGTTTTCCAAACAGTCATCAGTGAGGTCAGCACTTCTTTTAAAGAACACTTCCCACTGTGGTGCTTCCCCGTCAGCCTTCTTCTGGAGCTGTGGGACAGGACCCATGTCTCCTTGAGCTGAAGCTGGGGTTTCTGATTCTTCACTTTCACTGTTGGATTCCTCACAATCTATAAAGTCTGCCCAAAGAAAAGTTGGCATACTCTCTGCTCTGAAGCATCCTGTGCTTTCTCTCTGTTTTTCAGGCTGGTTTTGTGATATCGCAGTTGTGGGAAATGCCTCAGGGTGAAGAGTTTGCTGGTTTGGAATCTTGTGCCTTAAAGGTACTGGCAGAGGATCATCAAAGAGGTCACTGTCATCGTCCTCCTCTGTGGGATAAACAGAACAGGTGTGTAGGTAACACAATGCAAAAGGAACCAATTTGTGCTTCTAATTAAAAATCCAATTTGTAGCTCTTAGCTACATTTTTTAATTCATGGAATTGCAATTAGTGGGAGTTCACTCTTCTTCCAAGAGAAGTTAAAAGGCCCTGTGTTCTTGGGCTATTCTGAACAATTTATCTACCAGCCTTCAACCTGTCATAAAGCCAGGCTGTGCATTGAGACTAAAGATCTGTGCTCCCCAAATAAGGCCACAGAGCCTTAATCAGTGGTTCTCTGGAGAGCTCGTTAAATAAAACAGCTTTCTACATTTCATTTCACACCTACTGAGCCCCTGAAAGTAGGACCGAATAAAAGTTAAGTTCCACAGCCGATGCTGTACATCAGCTAGGTTTTTGAACCACCCAGACTAAGAGAGACGTTTGCAAACTCTCTGTGCTCTGCAGACAGTAGATGCTCAAGGAGTTGGCTGATTGACTTAACAGAGACAATTTTTTCCTAACATTTTCCTTCTGTGAACATTTTCTGATACCTACTTTATGCATGTTATAGGCTGAATGTCTGTGTCCTCCCAAAATTCATAATTTGAATTTCTGACTACGGTGTGATGGTATGTGAAGGTGGGGCCTTTAGATGATAATTAGCTCACGAGGGGGGGACCCGTGTGATGGGATTTTAGTGTCCCTGTGAGAAGAGGAAGCAGATTTCTCACCTTCTCCATGCCCATGCACAGAGGAAAGGCCATGTGAGTGCACAGTGAGAAGGTGGCTGAGAGCCAGGAAGCGGGCCCCTACCAGGAACCACATCTGCCAGCACCTTGGGCTTGGACATCCCAGCAGCCGCCAGAACTGTGAGAAGTAGCCACCCAGTCTCTGGTCACTGTTATGCAGCCCTATGCCAAGAGCACAGGCCATGAGAGACACTGGGGGACACACAGATCGAGTCAGCTTTAACCAAGACAATAGGCCACATCTAGTGTCACTTTACTGTCTTAAGCATGCTGCACTAGCCTGGAGTGAGCCCCGTCCACTTACATTCTGAAAGGAGGAAACCTTACGTGGAGGATGAAATTGACATAAGTTAAAATGACATACGGCACGGAACTGGGGGGAAGACAGATATTTCCCTGCGCCCTAATGGCACCTAACCTCGAAGAAGGAAATAAAATGCTCATGAGGCTACTTATTGTAGAGGGCAGCTTATGTTCTAGTGCAGAGCCTCGTGTTAAGAAGCAGGTAATTATAAGTTAACTATTTCCCCACTGATAAAGGATGTAGCTTAAAACTGCATTTTTAAAAGCTGCTTTTAAAGGGAGGCGGAGGGGGAATAGAAACCATCATCCAGCTCCCATTTTACCAGTGAGGAGGGAGGCCCGGAGATGATGTGTGACAGTGCGCAGTCAAGAGACCAAAGTCCAGTGTACTGTATTACAACTATAGTTGTTTAAACAAACAGCTATTTATCTTTTCTAAAGGACTTAAGGTGACTAAGATGTCTAGGGTCTATACTTGGAGTCACCCTGGTCTCCAAATTATGGCTTCATTTTGAGCCACGGATTAATTTGTTACAGCTCCTCCACTAATGTGCCAGTTACCTTTCTGTGGAACTCTTTTGTATCACCTCTGAGTTGGACAGTTTCATGTTCTTCTGGATCAGTGACTATACCAGTATCGTGGTATGTTTCAACTGTAAAAATAATCTGTCAAAACATTTTCACATTAACTCACCTGTATGTATCTGAAAAAAAAAAGTAAAGTTTCTATACTATTAGAAGTTTATTCTGACATTATGTATTCTTTCTGCTATGACAATATAAAAGTTTGAAATTTCTCTCTGAAAATGGGAAGGCATATAACAGAGAAAACATCACAATAAAGTGTTGAAATCCTTAACATTTACACAAACTCATAACACACCTAAACCTAATAAAAAAAGACAAACGTCATAATTCATAAGTACTTTCCACCCTCGTGTACTGCTGATGTCTGTATAAACTGGTATAATCATACTGGAAAACAATTTGGCAATATGTACGTATCAGGCACCATAATTTCTACAATTTAACCCAATAATGAGAGCTGTGAAACAGACTCATATAATGTCACTCATCACAATATTTATAAAAGTGAAAAGTTCAAAATAACCTAACATGTACGACAGATTAAATATACCATTATATAGTCACGGCATTCAAAAAATTACCACAGACGTGTAGAAAGGTGGGAAAATACCCTATATAATAAGGAAAAAAGTCAAAACTACCCAGAAATGATAAAATATGAGAGTAAATCTTGATTACCTTGGATTAAGCAAGAGTTTCTTAGATATGACACCAAAAGCAAAAAGCACAAGCTATAAAAGAAATTAAATTGGACTTCATCAAAAATTCAAAATTTTACACTTCCAAAGACATCATGAAGAAAGTAAAAAAGACAGCTTTCACAGACCAGAGCACCCTGAAAAGCGGTCTTGCAGGGAAACCCACACCTGTGACTCCAGGTCATTCTTCTTACCTGAGTCTAGGTGGATTGTTCTTGCTCTCTTCAATTTTCCAAGTGGTTTATACTTTGGCTCAGTACTTTGGGAAGATCGGCATAAAGGCTTTAAGCTGAAATGAATACGAATATTTTATTTTTCCTGTTGGGAAGTTGCTGGAATGCAAGCATCACTTTTAGAGATTATAAAAACCTAACTATGGAGGAAACCATACCACTACTTTTCAAAACTGAAAAGCAATGTTTAATAATTAAAAATTACTTCGGGGACTTCCCTGGTGGCACAGTGGTTAAGAATCCGCCTGCCAATGCAGGGGGCACGGTACGAGCCCTGGTCCAGGAAGATCCCACATGCCGCGGAGCAACTAAGCCGGTGTGCCACAACTACTGAGCCTGCGCTCTAGAGCCCGTGAGCCACAACTACTGAGCCTGCGCCTAGAGCCCATGAGCCACAACTGTTAAGCCCCCGTGCCACAACTGAAGCCCGCGCGCCTAGAGCCTGTGCTCCGCAGAAAAGAAGCCACCACAATAAGCCCACACCCAGCGACAGAGTAGCTCCCTCTCACCGCAACTAGAGAAAGCCCGCGTGCGTGCAGCAACGAACACCCAGCGCAGCCAAAAATAAAATAAAATTGGGGCTTCCCTGGTGGCGCAGTGGTTGAGAGTCTGCCTGCCAAAGCAGGGGACATGGGTTCGTGCCCCTGTCCGGGAAGATCCCACATGCCGCGGAGCGGCTGGGCCCATGAGCCATGGCCGCTGAGCCTGTGTGTCCGGAGCCTGTGCTCCGCAACGGGAGAGGCCACAACAATGAGAGGCCCGCGTACCGCAAAAAATAAACAAATAAATAAATACATTTATTTTAAAAAAAATTAAGTATAATAAAGTGGTAAATACAAGCACTTAAAACAACCTGGTAGATATGCATCTAATTGTAGGATTGGGGGGAAAGCAAAACTTTTATCTTTGTTCTTATGCTGCAGAAAAGCAGGTCCTATTCTAATAACCTATTAAGTAATAGAGGAACACCTTCTGGCATTCAGGGGATTCAGTATCGCAACGGCTTCCTTATGCCAGATTCCCAGAAGCATTTAGGGTTTTATGTTAACACATTCACGTGAAGAAAGCCCATGTGCTCCCAACCAGTACCATATTTACAGCCACACCTATTTTACATCCTTGCCCCTGGTTTCTGGCCCAAAACTATTCTCTGGATCCATCCCGTCCAAAAACACAAGTCCCACAAGTAGTAACTACTCACATTTCTCGAACTTTACCCATAGTTGTGCCTAACGGAATGACATTTGGATATACATTCACAGGATAGATGTAGCTCAAGAAATCTTTAATCTGGAAGAAGGAAAATAAAATGCATCAGTTATCTCTACGGTGAAGAGCCCCAGCATTAGAGCAGCAGATAAAGGGATGCGGGGAAAGAGAAGCAGAAGTCTCGAGACTGGGGTCCCAATGCCAGCTGCACGTCGGGAGCACCTGGGGACCTCCTGGGAGAAGAGAGACCCAACCCCAAAGTTCCCCTAACTGAGCTATGATGGGGCCTGGAGGTCAGGAGGTTTGGACGTTCTTCGGGTGATTCTGTTCTCCAGTAAGGAGTGAGGATCACTGATGAATGGGATGCAGAGGCTCCATTTCTTCATATGACAGTCGTTTCCTTATCTAGGGTCACCCACCCGTAGTTAACCAATCTCCTTCAAGGAGGTGAGATTCATCTGAGTATTTAATACGCACAAGGAAACAAGGTCTTAGAATTGCATTTCTTTCCTCCGACCTAATCGTTAGCAATACCAGGGGAAACTACATCTTTGAGATTGCTTGATTTGTTCTCAGGGTTTATTCTAATCTAAACAAGGAGATGCCAAAATGTCATTAATACCTTGATTTTCTGCAAAGCTCAGAAGGCTAAACAGGAGGACTTCTGTCACTATTCCTCAAAACACCTCTAACAACCCAGAAGAACTTCTGCTTTGCCACTTATTAGATCTTGGTGAGCTTGTGATCTCGGTTAAGTTACCTGACGTCTCTAAGTCTTAGATTCTTCATCTAAAAGTATAAATGAGATAATGTGGGTAAAGTGCTTAGCCCTGGTACCTGGCACATAGTTAAACACTCAATAAAATTGTCTATTACAAAGTTGGTAATGACAACACAAAGATTTTTATTCCCTTCTGCAAATGGAGAGACAGAGACACAAAGTAATTATTAGCACCCAACTTTTTCAAATAAAGCACCAAGTCAAAAGAGGTAGGGAACCCAGGAATTATTAATAACTCTATATTCAAATAAAATGGGAACCTTAAGACAAAGGGGAAAGACAGGAACAGATACGTTCTTTGGATACTTCGCATAAACAATTTCCTTTGTACTTTCAGAGTAGGCATGCAAAGAGAAGCCATTATTTACCTTGCCCACAACCTATATGATCTGCATAATCAATCCAGAGTCGAGACTGGTAGAAATCTGAGGCTTTTGAAAGGAATAAGAATGAAGAGAGTCAGGTCAGACCCACACCAGAAATGGCCCCTATCTACTCAGAGATGAAGTGGCCACAAGGAGACAAGAGATACCCAGGAGAGGGAATCCTCTCCCACTGGTCCACACCGATGCCCTTTCTTCAGATGCCTGCCTTAAAACTACCCATTAACACAGTCCGTTCTGGTTCTGTGCAGTAGTTCCACTCCATAAAGCCACTGCAAACAGTAGACCACTGTTCCTGGGGGAAATAAAAACAGTGTTTCCCTGAGCCTCCAGTCACAGCGCTTTGTCATCCGACCAAGTACACAACCTTCTTTTATGAGTGCTTCTCTTGAAAGATATCGTACGTAGAATACACTGTTGATCCATGAACACTGAGCTCGTAGCCAGTGGCGCTGCAGCTCACGCCTGAACAGAACTTATCCGACACAGGCACCGCCTCAGCAGGGCACATCTCGGCCTTCCTGGAGCTTAGGAACATTTGAGAGCACTTCAGCGCTACACTTGGAGGCTGTTTCAAACGGCAAAATCACCCCCAAAAGCACACAAATATGGAAAACGCAGCAGTAAAGAGACGGCAGAAAGGACCCTTGTTTACAGCCCGGGAGCTGAAACAAGAAGGCAGGAGGCCACCGTGTGCGGCCTGAGTCGGGAATGTGCATGTCGGGCGACTCAAATCTTTTGCGGCTCTGCTGTGCACGTCTGCAAATGACCACAGAGCGCCACTCGCGCTGATGCGGGGATTCAAACAAATGTCAGTGAGCAGGCAGATTTGTAAATGTGAAATCTGCAAATAATAAGGATCAACCGTACTTGGGAAAAAACAAAAAGGAAATGATCTTTAAATCTATTCACATTTGTTTTCCTTTTATTTTGGTCTCGCCACGCGGCATGCGGGATCCTCCTTCCCTGACCAGGGATGGAACCCGTGCCCCCTGCAGTGGATGCACGGAGTTCTAACCACTGGACCGCTGGGGATTTTTTTTCTTGCGTTATGCGGGCCTCTCACTGTTGTGGCCTCTCCCATTTGCGGAGCACAGGCTCCGGACGCGCAGGCTCAGCGGCCATGGCTCACGGGCCCAGCCGCTCCGCGGCATGTGGGATCTTCCCGAAACGGGGCACGAACCCGCGTCTCCTGCATCGGCAGGCGGACTCTCAAGCACTGCGCCACCAGGGAAGCCCCATTTTTAAATATAGTTCAGCATGTTCTATACACAGGATATAGGCGTATTAATTAAAGCAGTTTTCCGGAAAGCCTCTCTCTTCTCAGTGGACACAGTGAGAGAAGATGAGTAACCAGAGCTCAGGGTAACCCCGCCACAAGCAGGATAACTGCTGTCATCCGAGGAGAGAGGGAAGAGAGGAAGCAGGTCAGCCGCTCCACCCCTCTACCCAAGCAGCAGGGAGATGCCTCCCCATTGGGAGCTAACTTTATAGAATCCCAGAAAGGCTACGCTTCCCAACTTGGCTGCTAACTATACTGAAGAAGAGAAATAAGAGCAGTTATGATTGAAAACTTTTCCCCAATTAGAAGCCCTCTCTGTGGCTGAGACAGAAAAGGATGCTGAGGGGTAAGAGGAAGGTTGAGCAACAGTGATGCTGGGCCAGATGTCTAACCCAGGACAAATCACCAGGAAGGGGCTTTGACAACAACCTAAAAGTCAGGATAAACTGATAAAGAAAACAACTAAATTATACCATCCAGATGAATTACTTCCAGGCTACTCTCAAATAATCCATTTGTACCTGGAAGCTAAGCCCAGCTATTGAACAGAGATGTCATTGTGATACTTTGATAATAAATAATCATTTACAGTTTTCTGGCTGACTTGATAAGAATGCTGCTACCTGACCCCAATGTTCATAGCAGCACAATTTACAATAGCCAAGACATGGAAGCAACCTAAGTGTCCATCGACAGATGAATGGATAAAGAAGATGTGGTACATATATACAATGGGATATTACTCAGCCATAAAAAAGAATGAAATAATGCCATTTGCAGCAACATGGGTGGACCTAGAGATTATCATACTAAGTGAAGTAAGTCAGAGAAAGACAAGTATTACATCACTTATATGTGAAATCTAAAAAGTGATACAAATGAACTTATTTACAGACATAGAAAACAAACTTATGGTTACCAAAAGGGAGAGGGGGCAGGGGAGGGATAAGTTAGGAGTTTGGGATTAACATATATACACTACTATATATAAAACAGATAAACAACAAGGACCTACTGTATGGCACAGGGAACTATATTCAATATTTTGTAATAACCTATAAGGGAAAAGAATCTGAAAAAGAATGTAGATAAATATATATATTTATATATATAAATAACTGAGTCACTTTACTGTACACTAGAAACTAACAACACTGTAAACCAGCCATACTTCAATAAAAAATTTAATTAAAAAAATGCTGCTACCTGGAGCTCTGCAAGAATCCACCTGTTCAAATCATCACCATGCCCATGCTCACTGCTGCAGAGCTATATCCATGTACCCCCAATACAAAAATAATCGCTATCAGGGAAATGCGTTAAGTGCAGAAAGGGCAAAACTAAAATTATGTATGACTTAAAGTGTCATAAAAAGCCAGCTTTTATATTGCTTTTTCTCCAATACATGAAATTACTGAATCCCTGCACTTGTAAGATGCTAGCATTTACTTTGGAAATGCATGAGGATTCTGCAAATAAATTACGTATGTCAGGTTCCCATTCTAGTATGTCAATTTCCTATATAAAAAGTACCATAACGGAGACTTTCCTGGCGGTCCAGTGGTTAGGACTCTGAGCTTCCACTGCAGGGGGCACGGGTTCGGTCCCTGGTCAGGGAACTAAGATCCCGCATTTCGTGTGGCACAGCCAAAAAAAAAAGTACCATAACAAAACCATTTTAAGCCCTCTTCAACTGAATAATTCTACTATACTATGTCCTAAGGACAGGGTCTACACCTCAGTCACCTTTGTTCTTCCTCATTGCTGAATATTCAGGACAATTTTTTAAACAGCTTTTCAGTACAATCAAATTTTGGAAGAGGCCAAGAATCTGGACAGTACCCTAAGGCTACCAATAATGAGATTTTATCTGTAGCTCTTCAATTAAGATTTACAATTCTTTTTTTTTAGTCTTCTTTTTTTCTTACTGAAGTATAGTTGATGTACAATATTATATGTAAGTTACAGGTATACAATGCAGTGATTTACAACTTTGAAAGGTTATACTCCACATATGGTTATTATAGAATACTGGCTATATCCCCTGGCTTGTATAATGTTGGAGTAGCTTCTTTTATCTTCTTAACTATTACTTCCTTGGGGAAGCTTTTTATGTTTTGCTTGTTTGCTTTTTATTTATTAAACTATAGTTGATTTACAATATTGTGTTAGTTTCAGGTGTACAGCTTCAGATTCTTTTCCATTATAGGTCATCACAAGACACTGAATACAGTTCCAAGTGCTATACAGTTAGGTTTACGATTTATGACACATGAACAGAACTGAAGTGGGGAATTTAAAATACATTTAGAAAGCAAGTTGGGAAGAAAACCTTAATCATATGTTTTCTCCAATGTTTAGGCTGAAAACAAGTGATGATAGCAATTTCCTTTAGACTTAGTAACACAGCTCATCCACTGAGATGTCTTCCCTGCATTTCTTTAGGAAAAGCCACAACCAATCTTAAGCGGTAGAAAAAGAGATGCCCGCAGAAGCCACGAAAGGGAGTATATGGGGTCCTCTTACCTCACTGTAGGAGGAGTGAAAAGAAAAGCAGGCTCTGTACGAACTCTCTCCAGTCCTAAAGTGAGATGAAAACACAAAATTAAAGGTCACTTATCAAAACTAAGCTAAGTTCTAAATTTCAAGTCGTCTTATTCAGGCTCCTGCAGTATGAAATCACCTTACCATCAAGAATTTCTTCCTGGGACAAGGGGGAACTCTTTCCAGAAATGTAAATTTTTGTAGACATTCTGAATGGCCAACGTTAAGGAAATTTGCTAAAACATGGTGATCAGTATGGGCTCCTCTACTCCACCAAAGGCTTCTACTTCATACAGTGTCAGTTCCTAACTCCCTGCCAAGCAAGACGCCCTGTCTCTAACCCTCTCATCTGTCTATCTCAGGTAGACCCCAGGAAATACTGGCTAATGGTATTAGCCAATAGACAGCTTTGAAAGCCGCATCTCTGTAGTTTAAATACAGTTTAAATTTCAGAAGTTATTTTCCACAATTATAATATATCCTCTTCTTAGGCTTAGGCTAGATTGCATTTCAACTATTGATCTACCTCAAGGCAAGGTTTCTCTCGAAAGACACTGCTTGCTTACCTCACAATGACGCTGGTTTTTCTGGCTCTTTCTCCAAACCACATAGTGGATGGCTTAATGCTGATTGCGTGGAGTGGAATTCTATTTTTGGAGGTAACGCCACAGGGTAATTTATTCCACTGAAAATATTCCTCTGCCTAAAAAAGATTTTAAAAATACAGTAAAGCAGTTTAGTATTTTCAACAAATCTGTTTGTAGGCAGGGTCTCAAAAACAAATGTGGATGAGTTTTCAGACATGAAAAAAAAATATATATATAGACATGAGGAAACAGATAAGTCCAAATTGAGGAATGTTCCACAAAACAACTGACCTGAACTCTTCAAATATGTCCGTGTGATGACAGAAAAGCAAAAGGTTTGAGACTTGATCTACATGAAAAGAAACTGAAGAGGCCTGAGCAAATGCAAAAGATGATTCTTTTTTTTTTTTTTTTTTTTTTTGCGGTACATGGGCCTCTCACTGTCGTGGCCTCTCCCGTTGCGGAGCACAGGCTCCGGACGCGCAGGCTCAGCGGCCATGGCTCACGGGCCCAGCCGCTCCGCGGCATGTGGGATCTTCACGGACCGGGGCACGAACCGGTGTCCCCTGCATCGGCAGGCAGACTCCCAACCACTGCGCCACCAGGGAAGCCCAAAAGATGATTCTTAATAAAATCCTGGGTGACTTTATTAAGAACAGGAGGCCCTGCTCTTCCCTCCACAAGCCATAAAGGACATGATCGGGACAACTAGGGAAATTTGAATATGGACTCCATCACATCCAGTAGGGTCGTATCAATGCTAAACTTCCTGAGTGTGGGAACTGTACTGTGGTCGTGCAGGAGAACGTCCTTGTTTACAGCGAAGTGTCATGGCATCTGCAACTGACTCTCAAGTGGATTGAGGGGTGGGGGTGCTAGTTACACAGAGACAGACAGACAGACACAGAGTACGTGAGGGAGCAGATGTGATGGTGTTAACACACTGGGGAAGCCAGAGGAAGAAGACGCGGTGTTCGTATGACCCAGCGATTCCACGCCCGGGTATATATCCAGAAAAAAAAACAAAAACACTAATTTGAAAAGATACAGGCACCCCAATGTTCATAGCAGCATTATTTACAACTGCCAAGATATGGAATCAACTTAAGTGTCCATCAACAGACGAATGAATAAAGAAGATGTGGTGTATAAAAATATATACAATGGGGCTTCCCTGGTGGCGCAGTGGTTGAGAGTCTGCCTGCTAATGCAGGGAACACGGGTTCATGCCCTGGTCCAGGAAGATCTCACATGCCGCAGAGCAGCTGGGCCCATGAGCCATGGCCTCTGAGCCTGCGCG